ATGTCACACTGGAAGTATTTTAGTCCTGGCAATAAAACTAATGTAATTAAACTCACTTCATTTACTTTTGTATAGAAATACCCTATCTACTTTCCACAAAAATATATTTGCAGGTGTAGGTTGCAAAACCAGATTTTGCCTGGTATGTTGTGTGAATCCAATTCATATTGCTAATGTAAGGTTTAATGTGTTTTGCAAGCCAGAAAATTGATCTGAATAAACTCTGGTTAAATTAAATTTGTGTGAATGTAACCATGATCAAAAGATTTCTAAGCTGTGATGTGGGAGATCTAGTTATTTTTACTATTCTATATTTAATATTTTCTGAATACAATTCATTTACAGAATAATTCCATTTGTCTTTTAGAGAATTTGCAGGAGACCTGATGCTTCTGTGAAATGCAAAGGAAAAGTTTTAAAGGAATTGTTATTCAGAAATTAAAAAGTTGGAGGAACTCTATTTAAGGATGCATTTTGGAGACTATATTTTACAGTGTAAGGTTGATTCCCTTAAAGAACTGTCAATGGCGCCACCATACGCTGAAACTAAATTATTGTCTCCTAGAAGGATGTTCCTAGAAGAGTTACAATGTGATTAAAGATTCCTTTGAGCTTAGCTAGACTTCTAGGTAACTATAGAGAGAAGTCAATGTCATTTTCTTGGCAAACATTTAGAAGTGGTTTGTCCAGATATTTTTTAAACTCCCAGATCTAGCTTACAATTCTTGTATGTATTAATATCAGTCCTTTAGATTTACACTAAGTTTGCTCATAAAAATGATAGATCAATTGAAAGCAATTAATATTTGCAGATGCCCTAAATTCAGAGCTTTCTAGTTGGAGCAAAAAATGTCTCCTGCCCAAGACATTGTAGTTTTAACACCCAGACATGATCTTTGAGCTTCCATAGCCAGAATAAGCTTTTTAGTAGATTCCTCGAATCTGCTGCTTGTGTTGAACTCGATTTTCAGTCAACTATGCCAAAGATGGGAGTTGTAGTCAAAAATCCCTGAAAAGCTCCTGATTGCAGAAGTTTATCACATGTGCTCTGGCAATCTCAATAGAACTATGACTACTAAGGATCAAATTATCCAGGATATATTAATAAGTGCAAGAATGCACATGTTAACAAACCACAAAAGCAAAGATGTGTTAAGACAGAATTTGAAAGAAAGGGAGGTACTGAAGCTTTCTCTTCACTATTTCTCTACTTCAAAGTTTCTCAAAGACTTTTTCCTTGAAAGATATTAAATACACGTTCACCTTTCTTCCTAACATAGCATAATTCTAAATTCATAGCTACAGCCGAAAAGGACCTTTGGTGCCCCTTTTTATATTCTCGTTCTCATGCCTGAAAGATGAAGAGTCTTCCTCACAGAGTTCATATGTACAGTACGCATTCCAGCTTTGAGATGAGAGACTGGTTGTGTTGACCTTGTGGCTAAGATCGCTTGTGTCAAACGCAGGGCTAGTTCAGCACCAAACAAATAGAACATTTGTCGCTGGCCTTAAAAGGGGTGCTGATTTGCAGCATAGCTTTCAGTCCTGCTAGCACTTTCAGCCATAGGAAGTCAAAGCAGGCTCTACAGGGAGAGGGGAAGCACTATCAACAGTTGTTGCTGCTTGTGCTGTAACTCAAAGACTTGTAAAGTAATTGCACAAAGGTGCAAGCAGGGCTTTCTGTAAGTAAATTACTTCTGTAAGTAATCAGGTGCCTTGATCAGGGTGTCTCTAGGGCAAACTGAAGGGAAAGTTTTTCCTCCAAGGCCTTGAAGACAAAGCAGATTTGGATGAATTCAGGGGTAGACCGGGTCCCTTAAGACCCTGAAATCCAGCAGGTTCTGACAGGTTCTGGAGAACCGGTAGCAGAAATTTTAAGTAGTTCAGAGAATCAGCAAATACCACCTCTGGCTGGCTCCAGAGCGGGGTGGGAATGGAGATTTTGCAGTATCCTTCCCCTGGAGTGGGGAAGGAATGGAGATTTTGCAGTATCCTTCCCCTGCCATGTCCACCAAGCCACGCCCTCCAAGCCACACCACACCCACCAAGCCATGCCCACAGAACCGGTAGTAAAAAATATTTGGATTTCACCCCTGCCTTACGAGCATTTTAACATTAGCACCATATAATGCTGCACTGTGAGCTACAAATTAGGCCATCCTTATTTCACTTTGTTAGATTCCTAAGTGTGTTCTATAGAAATCAGTTATTCACATGTATTGTGCAAAAATCATGCCACGGACTGGAAAAGTTGCATTTTAAAGGGGAGAGTCTCCCAGCCATGAAAAGTATTATATATAGGAAATAATATTTTGGGGTGCAGAGCTGATTTCTGTTATTTAATAAGATTGCTTATGGAGCCACTAGGTTGACTAGTATGAGAACCTACTTTGACTTGATCAATTCTGTTTTTTCAGTCTCCCACTGAGGCTTCATTGCTGAAGCCAAAGATTTTCACTAATTCATGTCCCCCCCCCTTTTTTTTTTTTTGCAGAAGGACTCTGGATATAGAACTTTGGGCACCCAAGGCAATATCTTGGTTTTATATATATAGCTTACCATGTTAGATATTTGCACTGTAGATCAGAGCCTGTAGTACAGTGGACTAAAGCACTGTTATTAATATCTGCTGCTTGCAATTACTGCAAGTTCAAATCTCACCAGGCTCAAGGTTGACTCAGCCTTCCATCCTTTCAAAGGTAGGTAAAATGAGGACCCAGATTGTGGGGGCAATAAGCTGACTTTGTATAAAAATATACAAAAGTATGAAGGCTATTGCTTAAGCCGCCCTGAGTCTCCGGAGAAGGGCGGCATATAAATTAAAGCAAAATAAATAAATAAATAAATCCTCAATTATCTAGAAAACTTTCCCTCTTAAATATCTCTCCCCCCCCGCCCAGCTTGGTGTAAAGGAGAAACACGTTCAAATAGCAATCAGAAAGCCAAAGTCTGGAAGATAAGACAATTGCATTACCTCCTGAGTTTCAATCCAGTTTTCTTCTTGAAATGGCTATAACTATATTTCTCTTAAAGGAGAAAAACTGGCTTGGCAGGAGATACCAGGTGTGAGTGTTCTCCCGCAAAGAAGTCAGAAATGCAGCAAGACCCAAAGGCAGAGCTCCCACCAACTCTTTGCCCTGACCTCTAGGCAATGCTGTTTACAGCACAGATTATTTAGTGCAGCGTTTTTCACATTTGGCAACTTTTGAGGTGTATGGACGTCAACTCTCAGAATGCTGACTGGGAAATTCTGGGAAGTTGAAGTCTGCACATCTTAAAATTGCCAAATTTGAAAAAAACATCGATATAGTGTCAAGAAACAGACAGGAACTCTCTTTGTCAGGTATCCCACAAAACCTTTTCAACAGATTTCCGGACAGCCTTTCCCAAACTTTTTTTGCATTGTCTCTTTGTATGATTTCTTAAAGCAAAGCCAAATTCTTTCACTCCCTTCGTCAGCGCAGGGAAGTTTAGCTAAACTTTCTCTGCCTAAATATGCAAAATCTCTTTCATAAGCGGGCGACTGTCTGATTTCAAAGCGAAAGCGCCGCTTGGAGAAAACAGCCACGAAGCACGCAGGGAGGCAAGGATTGCCCAGTTTTGCTACCCACTCATTCATCTACGCTACAGATAGACGAGCAAACAACTTTCCCAAGAACAGAATAGACGTGGCTGGGACCGGTGGAAGCGAAACTTCAAACGTTTCTTCTCTACCATGGTTTGGGTTCACCGGACCAGAAGAGCTTGCTCCTCTCCTCTCCCCCCTTCCCCACGCCGACCCCTTCGGTTTCCAAGCCGCGGGGGACAAACTGGATGTTGACCTTCCCCGAGCCTCCAAATCCCCAAACGATCCCGGCCCCTTGACTTGAGAACTACGGAAGAGAGAGATGGGATCCCCGTCGCAGTTTGCCCTAATTACTCAAGATAAATAGAGTCTTAAAGAGCCAGAATCTGCCCCGCAAACAAGCTCTGTTTCCGCTGATCCGTAGCAATCAAGAAGTAACGCAAGCAGAACATCGCAGTATAAACAGGCTGAGAGAGAGAGAGAGAGAGAGGGAGGGAGGGAGAGAGAGGGAGAGAGGGAGAGGAAGAGAGGGAGGGAGAGTGGGAAGAGAGAGAGAGAGAGCAGGAGGGAGAGAGGGAGAGGAAGAGAGGGAGGGAGGGGGGAGAGAAAGAGAGAGAGAAGGAGCGAGGGAGGGAGAGGAAGAGAGGGAGGGAGGGGGGAGAGAAAGACAGAGAGAAGGAGGGAGAGAGGGAGAGGAAGATGAAGAGAGGGAGGCAGAGTGGAGAGAGAAAGAGAGAGAGAAGGAGGGAGGGAGAGGGAGAGGAAGGGAGGGAGGGAGTGGGGGAGAGAGAGAGAAGGACTGAGGGAGGGAGGGAGGGGGGGAGAGAAAGACAGAGAGAAGAAGGGAGAGAGGGAGTGGGAGAGGAAGAGAGGGAGGGAGGGGGAGAGAAAGAGAGAGAAGGAGGGAGAGAGGGAGAGGAAGAGGAAGAGAGGGAGGGAGAGTGGAGAGAAAAAGAGAGAGAAGGAGGGAGGGAGAGGAAGAGAGGGAGGGAGGGAGTGGGGGAGAGAGAGAGAAGGACTGAGGGAGGGAGGGAGGGGGGAGAGAAAGACAGAGAGAAGAAGGGAGAGAGGGAGGGGGAGAGGAAGAGAGGGAGGGAGGGGGAGAGAAAGAGAGAGAAGGAGAGAGGGAGGGAGAGGAAGAGAGGGAGGGAGGGAGAGAGAGAAGGACTGAGGGAGGGAGGGGGGAGAGAAAGAGAGAGAGAAGAAGGGAGGGAGGAAGGGAGAGGAAGAGAGGGATGGAGAGGGGAGAGAGAGAGAGAGAAGGAGGGAGGGAGAGAGGGGGAGGAAGAAAGAGGGGGGAGAGAGGGGGGGGGGGAGGGATACGGCTAGAGTCGCCCTTGGCAGTTCTGCCCCCCCCTCTCCCCCTCCCTTCCCCTCCCCGGGAGAAGCAAAGCAAAGCAAAGCAAAGCAAAGCGCCCGACAGGTCTGTGCTTACAGGTAGGCGGTGAAGGGGCTGAGGCCGGCGGGCACGGAGGCGAGCGCTAGTTCGGAGCAGTCGGCGGAGAGCGCGATGCCGTCCTCCTCGCAGTGGCAGAGCGGCGGGCAGAGGACGGCGACCCCGGGCGGCTGCGCCGCTGCCAGCGTGCCGGAGAGCGCCAGGACGAGCCAGCAAGGCAAGAGGCTGCCCAGCCGGGCGGCGAGCGGACCTCCCGCAGCCAGCATGCTGGGCGCCGCTTGGCCGTCTCCCTCTGCCCGAGCGGTGCGCGGGAAGACGCCCAAACTGCTACCGCGGCCGGCTGCACCTTCCGAAGCTCCCGTGCTCGTCTTCCTCGGCGCCGCCGGGAAGGGGAGGCATGGCTGGATGGTCGCGGTTATTGGGTTTCACACGGGCTGGGCTGGGCTGGGCTGGGAGGTAAAGACTCGCGGGGAGGAGTCAGAGACCGGGCGCCTCGATCCCTCTGCCTCCCTCGCGCAGGCATTTCGTTCAACGAGAAGGCGCGGAGAAGAGACCTGCCAGGAGCCCAGCAAACATTGCTTTGCACCCAGGCTCACAAAACGCGAGAGAGAGAGAGAGAGAGAGAGAGAGAGAGAGAGAGAGGGCGGGCGGGAGTGAGTGAGTGAATGAATGAATGAATGAATGAGTGAATGAACGAACTCTTTCTGAGCCCTGAGTCCCTTGGGAGAAGGTGCGGTATATAAATTTGAAATAAAATAAAAATAAAAAAATAAATAAATAAATAATAATAATAATGTGTCAATGATATTTGAGATCCGTTTTTAAATGTTCAGTTGACTGAGTTTCATGTTTAATGAATAAAAGTATGTAATAATAATAATAATAATAATAATAATAATAATAATAATAATAATAATAATAATAATTTATTTATTTATTTTATTATATTTCTATATCGGCCTTCTCCTGCGGGACTCAGGGCGGTGTACAGCCAGGATAAAACATAGCATATAAAATTTAAAAACATTTTAAAAAACAATTAAATAATATTGGCCCGAATTTAAAACAACCCAATTAAAACCGAAATTCGATTAATAGTAATAATTAATAATAGTAGTAGTAGTAGTAGTAGTAGTAATGTAGGGTTTTTCCTACCTAAGCAGGGGGTTGGACTAGAAGACCTCCAAGGTCCCTTCCAACTCTGTTATTCTAATCTATTCAATAATAATAATAATAATAATAATAATAATAATAATAATAATAATAATAATAATATCTGCCCACCACCGACTTCCATGCAAACCCCGATATTTTCCCACGCTCTGGCCAGGATTAGATGTCGCCCCGAAAGATTTTGGGGGCTGGGGAGGGAAGGAGGGAGACCCCCACCCAACCGAGCCCAGGGGGGGGGGCGAGGAAGGAAGGCAGATCCTGTCATCCTCCTTCGTGCCATACGTGTGCGTGTGTGCCAGGAGGGGAGGGGGTTTCCTAGCCAGCATTCCTGTCCCTGGGGGGGGGGTGGAGACCCCACTCATCACCCGTCTTGGCAGAGGAAGTTCAGGTGAGTGTGCATTTTTGTACACGTGCGTGTAAAGAGAGAGACGGACTGGCATTTGCGCCGGATTTCAGCATGCAGCCTGCAAAGCCCAAGGAAGACTTTACCTGTTGGGCTGCTGCCTGCTGGCTTGCAGGGGTTTTGCAAGCAGAGAACCCAACCCTGTTTTAGGGGAGGGGGCTTGAGTTGCTTATTGCCTAACAGAGTTGGAAGGGACCTTGTAGGTCATCTAGTCCAACCCCCCCCAGCAATCCAGACAGGTTGGCGTGTCGAGATCCGAAACTGGCACCAGAATTTGTGGATGGGAGACATTTGGGGGGCGCCGGAGGGTTCAGAAAAAAAGGGGGGCAGGAAATAGGGGAGCAGCTGCTTAATTAAGGGCGGCACCCCAAATGAGAAATAAATGAATACTGGTAGTCCTCGACTTGCGGCCGTTTGTTTAGTGACCGTTTGAAGTTACAACGGCATTGAAAAAAACTGATTGATGACCCGGTTTTCACACTTAATGACCGTCGCCGCATCCCCATGGTCGCATGATCAAAATCCAGATGCTTGGCAACTATTTATTCGTAGTTTATGACGGTGCACAGCGTCCCGGGGTCACACGATTCCCTTTTGCGACCTTCTGACCAGCCAAGTCCCTGAGGGAAGCCGGATTCATTTAACGACCGTGGGACTTACTTAATAACGATGTTATTTTCCCAACAAGGGTGGAAGGCTTGATTCGTTTAATGACCGGGGCAAAAACCCCTGCCCCAAAAGGTGTTAAAATGGGACGCAGCTCGTTTAGCGACTGCCTGGCTTGGCCACGGAAATCCGGGTTCCAACTGTGGTCATAAGTCGAGGACTGAGGGTGTGGGAGAGTAAAATCAGGAGTTTTAGAAAGGGAGAACAAAGGGGGGAGGAAGAGGAGGAAGGAAGAAGTAAGGAGAGTTTATGGGATCTGCAACTGGGACATTCAGTTGTCTTTAGGTAGTCCTCGACTTATGACCATTTGCTCAGTGATCGTTTGAAGCCATTCCCTTCCCAACCGGCACCTCTTGCCCCCCTCTCTTTTACCACCACCTCGCTTAGTGACGGAAATTATGTCGCAAGTCTTCAAGGTAGTCCTCCACTTATAACCGCAACTGCGGTCACAAATCCCCGTGACCGTAGTACGCCGGGACGGTTGCAAGTCCGAGGACTTCTTTTTTTTCCAGCGCCGTGGTAACTTCCAAGGGTGGCTAAAACAAACGGTCATAAGTCGAGGACTGCCTGTGAGGGATAGTCCTCAACTTGACGACGGCGATGACGCCCCAAAGTTTCTGCAGCTAAAGCGAAACATTTTTTTTTAAAGCCCCATTTTTTTGCCCCGTTTTACGACCTGGCCACCGTTGCAAAGTGAATCGCCGCAGTTGGTATTTTAGTAATGTATCCCATGGTCGTTAAGCGAAACTGACTTCCCCCTTGACTTTGCTTATTGGAAGATCGGAAAAGGGGATCGTGTGGTGGACACCCCTCACTCCAGGGACACTGCAACAGGCATAAGGACATGCCAGTGGCCAACTCTCTGAATTTTGTTCACATGGACTGCACGGTCGTAAGTGTGAAAAACGGTCCTCGGTTACATTTTTCAGTGCCGTGGTAACATCGAACGGTCACTGAACGAACGGTTGTAAGTGGAGGACTGCCTGTAAAATCCACACAGGTTTTAGGAGCCGGTATGCCATGGACCACAGCTGTGGAACCTTCTCAAGAAGGTTGTGGCCCCTCCTGGACCTCTCGAGATCGAGCTGAAAGAAAAGAGAGGAGGGGTCCCCAATGAACCCAAACTGGCCAAGCTGTGCTTCTGTGGGTTCTTTCATGGAGGGGGTCTCCATCCACAGTTTGCAAGCCCCACCCCGGATACCCACCCCCCAGAGAACAGGACCTCCTGCCATTTGGGGTGGCACTTCCCCTTGGCCCATCTTCAGAGAGAGAGAGAGAGAGAGAGACCCTCATTTTCCAGTTGGAGAAACCCTTCCCCAAGAAAAGGGGGCTTCATTTGCCTGCTGGAAGAAAGCTGTTGTGCCCCCTCCTCACCCCCAAAGAAAAAAATGAGGTGGGCACCTCTTGGTCGAAGTAGGGATCGGGTTGCAGGTGGGACAATTCAAACGGGGAAAGAATTGAGAAAAAAGAGGGGGGGGGCTTTGGTAGGGAAGACCTGCGGGACCGAGAAGGGTCCTAAGAACCCACCAGTCGTGCCCACCCACCGCCTGTGCCCACCCTTGCCCGCTGCTTACCATCCTCCATGGGGACGTAGACGTTGAGGTACAGGCAGTCTTCGCTTTGATTCTGGACGTAGCCGGCTACGATCTCCAAATTGTCGGTGAACCAAACGGGCAACATGATGGCGGGCAGCATGCCGTGGATATTCTGCGGGCACACCGGGGCGAAAGCCGTGGCATTGCGCACCTCGGACCAGGAAGCCGGCGCCTCGGGCGGCTGGAAACGGCGTTCGCCGACGGGCGGCGTGGCGTAAGGGATGCCCAAATACTGCACTACAGGGCCGAGGATCTCGTTGTTGAGGCCTTTCTTGATGCCACGTAGCTTGCCGTAGTTGGTGGGCACCACGGGGTACTTGTCTTCGGGCTTCTGCCCCGAGAGGGGCGACGGGCGCAGGGCCAGCCCCAGGAGCCAGAAGAGGAGAGCGGAACCCGGCCGGACGTTCAACATCCGGCGGACGAAGCTCGGAGACGAGAGGAACATGGTGGCCGGAAAAGGTGCCAGGTCCTTCACAAGCGGGGAGAGAAAGAGTCAGAAGTGGCCGACCGAACAGAAGCAGCACCAGAAGAGGAGGAGGAGGAAGAAGAAGTAGGCCGGAGAGGTTGCAGCCAGAGCCCAGAAGTTGAGGAAACCCAGCCGTCCTAGCAGGAGAACCCCAAAAATGTTCTGGCTGAAATAGGACATCTGTTGCGTTCCATGGTGGGTCTGGAGCACCACAACTGCCAGCGAGGGGGTCTGAGAGAGGCACCTAGAAGTCCAGGGAGGGGGAAGAGAGAGAAGTGAAGTTGGGGGTCAACCAGAAGTAATAAGAGAAAAGGCAGCAGGTAGGAGGAGCTGGTGGACCCAACTGCTTTAGAAGAAGAAGAGGTGACCTTCTCAATCTCTGCTGAAGAGGTCCCCTTTCCCCAGGAAACCTGTTGAGACTCCCCCCCACAAGTCTCTCCCAACTCCAAATCTCATTTCGGGGAAACAGACTAGTGTGAGCAAAAGTGTAGGAGGGCTTAACGGGCAAGGCCAAGTTCTCGTGGTGGACTTCCAAGATGCTGAAGGCCGACCAGCATCTCACAGGGTTCCAGTTCCAAGAAAGAGAAGAGGGAAGGACCATGTCTCCATGAGGAACCCAAGAGTACACCACCATCAGGCCACAGCGTGGAGCAATCCACATCAGGGTGGATTCCTCAACCTTAAGCAAAGCATCCAAGGTCCACCTAAAGGATTCCAGAAGATCCCTCAAGAAAAAGAGGGAGGAGATGAGATCAGGGGTCCCCGATCCAAGGAGAACCCATAACTCATCCTGTGTTGGGGAAGGGTGCCCTCCACGTCGGTCTTTACTGTATGGGGACATCCCAGGAGATGTGGAGATCTCAAGATGTTCTTCTTCTGCCCTGAGGACACCAAGATGGGACTCTCCTGGATGAGGAGATGTCCCAAGCTCCAGGGTCACCTCTAACCAAAATGGCCCCTGGACTGGAAGGACAAAGGAGGTGTCCAGGTGACTCACAGTTAAGACCAACCCACAGGGCTCCTGTCTTATACAGGGAGTCCTCGACTTATGACCACAATGCCCCCCCAAAAAATTATGTCGCTAACAGTTCTTCAGTAAATTGTGCCTTCT